CCTCTCAGGGATCCCAATAATTCTACATTGGAACGTTTCATGGTGTCACTTATTTCTCTGATTCTATTTTCATGGATTTTGAGTTGTTTTTCCCTGGCCTCCTCTTTTCCCTTCTTGTTTATTAATTGGTCTTCTAGATCACTCGTTCGTTCTTCTGCCTCAGTTACCCTCGCTGTTAGATTATCTAGATTAGATTGATCTCATTGATGGCATTTTTAAGTTCTGCCAATTCAGCTTTCATTTCTGTCCTTAGAGACTCCATGTTGCCATTAATTGATTTCTCCATTCTAGCTATTGTCTTCACAATTGCTAGCCTGAATTCCATCTCCGACATCTTGGTTATATCTGCATCCATTTGTAAATCTGCAGCTTAAGTCATAATCTCTTAGTCTTTCCTATTTTGGGGGTTCCTCCTCCTAGTCATTCTGTTGAGGGGTGGTTGAGGGAATGTATAGAGTCCAAATTATTGGCCACAACCCAAGCAAGATGCAGCTGTTTTCTAGGGACCTTAGGGTTGCTGGCCTCTTGTTTTCCCAGCCTGTCTTCTGGGGGAGGGGCCTGCCGTGCTGTTACTCAGGCAACCCTTGTTGGGCAGAGTTGCCCTGCCCCCTGTGGCGGGGGATGGTCTCAGTGAAAACCAGTTTTGGGCGGCTTTTGCTCTGTGGTGGCTTTCCCTGGCAGCTTTCTGCGTCTCTTCAGAGAGTCAGAGCAGAAGAGACCGTTTCCAACCCTCTGCCTCAGAGCAGAGAGATCGCAGTCTGTTCTTCAGTGAGCTCTCCAGGCCACACTATCCCCATTTCTGTCTGTGCTGCTATAAACTGCAGCGTCCTGGGTTGTGCACCCCTCAGCAGCGCTCTCAGTCCTCGCCTCCAGGTTGGGGCACGTCTCTGCCCTTTGTGCTTCTAAAACCGCCAGCCGCCCTCAGTTCCCACACGCGGCCCCTGTGCTCCGGGTTTCTGTTTGGGGGGACTGCCCTAAAGTCCTTTCCCCACCACTACCGGTCTGTAAGTCTGTGCCCCGTCCCCAGTGCAGAAGGCTGTTGCTCGCCAGTGGTGTCGGATCCCCATGGCCAGGCTCCCTCCACTGCCATTTATCCTCCGATATCTACCTGTAGAATCATGGCTCCCCTCTTCATACCTCGAAACCAACCCCCTGTGATATTCTGTGTGTAGAGATCTAGATCTATCTTCTTAGATCTCAGGCTGATTTCATGGGTGCTCAGAGTGGTCTGGTAGATATTCAGCTTAATTCCGGGAACCGGTTGGAATAGGGTCCCCTACTCCTCTGCCATCTTTCTCTTTCATCAGTATTTTATAGTTTTCAGAGTATAGGTCTTTCACCTCTTTGGTTAGGTTTATTTCTAGGTATCTTACGGCATCAGTAAACCTTAAAAAAAAAAAAAACTGTTACTACTCTTTTTAAAAATATATCGGTGTGGGACACCTTGCTGGCTCACTTGGTTAAGCGTCTGCCTTCGGCTCAGGTCATGATCCCAGTATCCTGGGATCGAGTCCCGCATTGGGCTCCTTGCTCAGCAGGGAACCTGCTTCTCCCTCTCCTGCTGCTCCCCCTGCTTGTGCTCTCTCTCTCCCTGAGAAATAAATAGATAAAATCTTAAATAGACACACACATACAGACACACACACACACATATATGTGTATATATGTATATATATCAGTGATTACTAAGTACTATTTGGATGATTTTATTTTTGATAAATTTTTATAAATAAGAAATTTCAACATTTCTTAAAGTTCTTGAAAGTGTGGTTTAACTGTATTTTATTATAAAATGAATATAAAATGACTCTTTAATCTCAATAGTAATTTGAATGGATTTTCCTTATTAAAAATAAAGGGTTCACATTTTACAAATGACTATGATTATAAAATTAAGAATTTAAATGATTTTTATAGCAAATTCAGGCATTAATTGTTCTTTCAAAATCCAATAGAGGATTCTCATTTAGAGAGTAATGTAGATCTCTGTTTCTTAGTTCCAGAGTATGAGCTGTCAGGATAACCATATGTTTCCATATTGGACAAGAAGGTATACTTTTCTCTTTGCCTTTTAGTTTAATTTGCATAGTCAAAATGTAGGTTGTCTGGTGATCTCCTGAGATCAGATTAAAAATACCAAGTTTGGATTTAAAACAACATTAGATATGTTTTCATAGTTTTTACTCAGGTGAGAAAAAGATCATTCAAAAATGCTTAATGGGAATCTGCATTACTACTTACTCCTAGATTATAACTTCCTAAAGGATCTGTTACTACTGGTTTCTCTTCCCTTTACAAAAAGATTTTATCATGTCATTCCCCTTAATAACTCGTGCATTATCCAGAGAAGCATTTCCCAGTTGGTAGCCTGCAGATCCCTAGGAATTTATGAAAGTTCATGGCGGTTGCTGAGGGAAACAAAGGAATGTCAGTAAGAGACATGTTTCTTTGGAATTTTTGAAAGGTAGAACGCAGATGGGAGGAGAAACAAGCCGGCCAGAAACAAACCTGCTCTTCCCTCTACGACTTAACTTGTCTTGGAGGGTCCAGCCAGTGTAGTAAGGAAAAGAAACGATTAAGGTGATGACCCCTATTTTTCCACAGTAAATATATTACCAGTTTTCCTCTCATTTAGTTTCTTTTGAAGAGATACTCACAGCTATGTAAATATCCTTTTATTCACCACACTTACTCTAGCCCTAATCTTCATTGATGATTCTTGCCTGAATCACATATTACTATGATAGTTTCCAGATAGTAATTTTCTAATTTTATCATCCCTTGGAGCTGGCTCCTATGTTCCTGTCATTCCTTGGGAAGTCTCACCTTCTGATTCATTAAGTCATTCCAAGCTCATCTGGACTGTTTGTGCCCCAGTGTTTGATTCAGTCGTTTTGCCAGAAAGGTCTGAATCTTTTTAGTAAGGAATGGTTTTTAAGAAACCAAGACCTGGGGGCTACATGTGCTCAGTAGCTCCTGAACCTCTCATGGCTTAAGCCAGGGAATATGTATCTTTATCTCTATATATGTATTAAATGCTATGTTTAGAATCTTCATTTTTATCTCACTGTTAAGAAAGAAAACACAATTGTTAAATTAGACCAGTTGATTTTTATACACTAAATGTAAGAATTTCAAAAATCAAGTCATGAGTGTATAATTTTAAGATTATATTTCAGTCTCCATTTAAGACTGTTTGATAATTCATTTGTCTGCAAATCATGCTTTCTATTATATGATTTAAAGTAAATTGAATAACATATATTAATAAATGAGGAAAATGTTGAAAAATTATAATATAATAGCTAATAATAGTGATGTAAGATATTTTTATTTATTTTCTTATTTATCCCATTATGCAGAGATGACAGAATTTTTACCAATACCCTTAAAAAGGGAGTAGGAAGAATTATTAATCACTGTACAAAGTTAGTGAATTCAAAATGTTGAATACCTTTACTTAGAGGATAAGGTCCCGATTCCTTCTCTCATATGCAAAACCCTCATGGGCTGGCTCACCACCTCCCCCGACCCTGCCTTCCTACTCTCACCTCATACTTCCCTCCCTCTAGGCATATTGGTTCGCCTTATGGTTCCTTGTGTGAGTGGCATGCCCTTCCCCCTCACTAATCTGCCTGGAAACATCTGATATATCTGTCAGGTTCCAGGTCACATATCACCTGTTCTGTAGAATCTTACAGACAGAATTGATTCTTCCTTTGTTCTCATAGAAGCTCAAATATACTATTCTTTAAAAAAATAAAAATAAAAAGATTTTAGGGCGCCTGAGTGGCTCACTTGGTTGAGCATCTGCCTTCGGCTCAGGTCATAATCCCAGAGTCCTGGGATCAAGCCCTGCATCCGGGCTCCTTGCTTGGCCTGCTGCTCCCCCTGCTTATTCTCTCTCTGTCAAATAAATAAATTAAATCTTTTTAGGGAGCTTGAGGCGGGACTCGATCCCAGGACCCTGGGATCATGACCTGAGCTGAAGGCAGACGCTTAACCGACTGAGCCACCCAGGTGCCCCTCATATATCCTACTTTCTTATCTCTGTATTCCTTAGTAGATGTGTCTTCTTTTGCACAGCCATTTTATCCTCCTTACATCCCAACACAACACAGTATCAAGCATTTCAGATAAGTACTTGATAGATGCATAAAGATTTTGTTGGTTTCAAGATTATCAACTTGATAATTTTTAAAATGTCTATTCTGCGAGCACTTGTTAAGTCGTATTAGTTATGGTGACTTCCTTTGTATACATAAAAAAAAATTTAATATGCTAAACCTGTTGCTAGATTTCTAGAGATGAGATAAAGGTTTAAAAATTCAAGATACTTCAAGACCTATCCCTTATGTGTATTACAATTTTCAGTGGGCTGTGCTAGATCTTCACTCACACACATCCTTCACGTACCCGTGGAGTGTAGAACTGCCACTTTACCAGAGCAAATGCATAAATAATGTTATGGTACAATGAATAAGGTGAAAAAGTCAAACTCAGAAGACACATCTAATGGTGCTGGTGACATTTAAAGGGCAGTGAATATGTCCTAATGAAGGAACTTGCAAAGATTACTTCACGGGTTCTAGCTGGGTAGATTCCAACTTCTTCCTTTAGTTTAATCTTGGTAATTAGTGCCCTGAGCTCTCGGTGCTTACTCCCGCATATCTCTATCCAAGTCCTCCAGTGGCCAAACCTCACCAGCCCAGTCTCTTTTACCACAGAGTCTCCCAAAACACCTGTCCTTTCAGGTCGGTCTGTTTACTCCCCTGATGCTCACTGCCACCCTACTGCATGCCCAGCTGAAGTCAACTCTGCCACTTCACTCTCTACTCAACTCTCCCCACTTTGTGTTTTGCTTATAATTTGGTAAAGGTTTGGTTGGAAACTCAGTTTAACACCGGGTCTGCTTTACTGCGGTGCCTATGTCTTTTAGTACTAGAAATGTCTGCATTAGAGTCTATTAAAAGTGTGTATCTCTGCTTTTTTCTTTCTAGATCCTGGCTAGATAGCAATGGGAAAAGTGCAATTAAAAAACTGAGGAACAGTTTGCCACTTAGAAGAGAACTAGATCGTTTAAAAGATGATCTGTCTCAGCAGCTGCAGCTCTCAGACATCAGGTAACAAAGACCTTAATTTAGAGACTAAAATAAGCATGTATTATCTACTGGTCAAGCTTCCCAGCAGTTAAATATTTGCATCTTTAATTATTCTGATAACTATAAGTAGCCTTAAATTATCTTTTTCTGAAAGTAGTCAAATGTTCATCTTTATAAGAAAACTTTTATCAATTTCTTTTTTAAAATTGTGAAGTAAGGTTTAGATACATTTTTAGCATAAGAGTTTAATTTTTTAAAGTAATGTTTATTAAAGAAAATCCTTTTCCATATGCACATAATATATAAAAAGTAATTATCCCTCTATCCTGTGAGATCAGTATTTAAATTTAAAATGAGGAAGGGAGACAAAAAATGGGTGTTGTATTCTTGGTTCTGTGTTTTATAGCATGACTTTTTAAAGTTTTCATTAACCTGGAAATCACAGTTCCGTAAAGATAACAGGCATTTATTATAAAAACAGATTTAACAGCTGTTAAAACACTAAGGAAGGGAAAAGGGGGCCCTGGTGTGATTCCGGGGGCGGGGGGAACCCCCCATTACAAGAACTGAGAAACTGTTGCTCAGTCTTGTGCTTGAACATTTCTATTACAGTTCGTTGTAACCTGTTTTGTTGTTTCCAACCTTTATTATCAGGATTTTTTTTTTCTTCTTTTGAACTAAATGACTATTTGGGTATCATAATAGCACCTTTTTCTTGTGCCTGTGGAGTACTGATAATACTTAAATGTTTTGTTCTTGTATATTCAAATCATAGTGGGTTTTTTTGGTTTTTTTTTTGTTTTCAAATCATAGTTTTATAAGATAAGATTTCAAGGAAAGTGTGTAGACTTGGTGTGTGTGGGATGTTTGGATTTGTGCTGATGGCTGCTCTTTTGTCATCACATCAGTTATTTTTAGGCCCTGCTTTGATTAGAAGGGTTCTTTTAATTCCACAGTGTAGTAGTATGGACTTCTCTAGCTAACACCCAAATAACAAGATCCTTTTTAAAAGTTTGTAAAATAAATTTATGTACATAAAAGTACCTTTTTCTAGTATAAATTCTAAATGAACTATCAAAGAGACTAGAATTAGGAAAACAAAAGGATTTTTTTAAGGATTTCTTAAACATAAAAAGAAACAAGCATTATATTACAGTATGGTGTAGAAACTTCTCAGCTTTGATCTTTGCCATGGTAAATATCAATAAATATTAAAACACATAAACAAAAGGTCTTTGGGTTCTCCATTTTTAAGAGTGCAAAAGCTTTCTGAGACCAAAGCATTTGAGGATCATGGGTATGATGGCTTTCCACTATCGGAAAATCAGCCAAGCCTACAAAAGAGAAACACTGTGACCAATGACATTGTTTCTAACTCTAAGCCACCTGTGTGAAAGACCATTTATTAGTAAGAACTGTATTTAGTAGCTTTATCACAGTGTTAATTCTTTGAAATTATATCTGTTTCACCTGTGGGTTAAAGAAAAAGTTTTGAAAATCCATTTTATCAGAAATGACATTCATCAGAATTGGTAATAGGATGAAGAAGGAACCTAAGTTTTTTGAGAGCTTGTTTTGAGTGCCTTGCTCCTTCACATATGTTATCCCTTTTGATTTATGCTACCTGTGCTGGAGGAAGTGATCCCACTTTGTATGTATGAAATGGAAACATTAGGAAAGCTAGAAGCAACTTGTTCAAGGTCACAGAGCCAATAAGTCACAGAATTAGAATTCAAAGGGAGATGTTCTGATGCTTCTTAAGATCAGTGCTCATACCAGTGCCTCTGACACCACGCGGATATCAGGTTCCATTGTGTCACTAAGATTCAGTGTTCATTTATAAAATACGTAGATTACATGTCATAAAAAAAGTCACTTTCTCTAGAATAAGATAAAAAGAATCTGATCTAGTCTGGAGTTCCTAATTAGAACTTAAATCTAAAACAAAATCATCATCATTGAATGATGTGGAGATGAAAAAGGTTTTTTTTAAGTGTTCCGCATTTCATTTCCTTATTTTAAAATAGAAACAGCATAGTGTATTTGCTTGTTTGAAATGTTTGGATATCTGAACATAGTAGTAATATTTTTACCCTCTGGCAAACCATTCATTTTCCATTTGGTTGCTTCATAAAAAAATGAGCTAGTTGGAAGACATGCCTACTCGAGAAAGAAACTCACTGGCTTTCCCAGGCATCAAGCAGCAAGGGGTGAATGCAGGCGTCCTCCCTCGGGGGCGCCTGGTGTTAACGCGCCTGTGTGCTCTGTTGTACTAGGTGGCAGAGGAGCTGGGGCATCGCCCATCGCTGTAGCCAGCTTCATAGTTTAGGCCGCTTAGCACAGCACAACTTGGAAACACTTAAAAATGCAAAAGGTAAACAATTTCCATTTTCTTTTAAAATATCACTCAGCTGCTATACACATCTGTAAATTGTGGAGGAAAACTAAGTGTTAAAAGACCTTACAGATGTGACTTTATCACAGCTGAACTTTTAAATCTGTTCCTTTGAGTAAAACAGAGACACGAAATTAGCCTTTAAAGGGCACCTGGGTGGCTCAGTCCGTTAAGCGACTGACTTGATTTCAGCTCAGGTCAAGATCTCATGGTCCTGAGATGGAGCCAGGTGGCAGGCTCTGAGCTCAGCACAGAATCTGCTTGAGATTTTCTTCCACCCCCTATGCGCACACTCCCTGACGTGGACATGCTTGTGCGTTCTCTTTCTCTCCCCCTCTCTAAAATAAATCTTTAAAAAAAAATTTTTTTTTTTTAAATTAGCCTTGGGCACCTGGGTGGCTCAGTTGGTTAAGCGACTGCCTTCGGCTCAGGTCATGATCCTGGGGTCCTGGGATCAAGCCCCACATTGGGCTCCCTGCTCTGCGGGAAGCCTGCTTCTCCCTCTTCCTCTGCCTGCCACTCCCCCTGCTTGTGCTCACTCTCTGTCAAATAAATAAATAAAATCTTTAAAATATAAAATAAAAAATTAGCCTTTAAGCTTCTACTGAATTTAATCCTGAATTTGTTTACTAAATTTAAGTAATTATTTGCACAATACTAAAAAAATGAAGCATCTGTGGACAGTGACCAAAGGGTTTGTGTTTTATCACCAGGATGTACAATAATATTTACAGACCGATCCGGAATGAGTGCAGTGGGCCATGTGATGCTAGGAACAATGGATGTCCATCATCACTGGACAAAAGTAAGGAAAAGTTTCAAAGCAAAAAATCCTGATTTGTCATAGACCTACTTTTGTTTCAAACTATGCTGTTATGTCAGTGAACTAAAAAAAACTCAGATCATAGTTTCAGCTATTTTCAGAATAGATGTTTATTATCATGTAGTTAAAATACTCAGAGGCCTGATTTTTAAGTCAGTTTTTATTTGGAAATTTTATAGTCTTTTCTGAAGCATAGCCTAAAAGGCCTACATTCTGTTGTTTTGGTTTTAACAGATTTACTCTGTTATAATTGACATACAATAAACTGCATGTATTTAGTGTGTATAATTCGATGAGATTTAACATGTGTAAATACCCATGAAGCCATTAACACAATCAAGATAGTGAACATATCCATCACCCACAAAAGTATGCTCATGTCCCTTTGTAAACTCTCTCCTCCATCCCGCCACCCTCTCCCCAAGCAACCAGTGGCCTGCTGTCACTATAAATCAGTTTATAACTAGAATTTCATATAAGTGAAATTACAAAGTATATACTTCTTTTTGGGGGGCGGTTCTGTTTTCTTTCATTTGACATAATTATTTTCAGATTCATCCATGCTGTTGCGTGTGTCAAGAATTTCTTTTTATTTCCATGTAGTGTTCCATCATATAAATATACCAGTTTGTTTATCCATTTACCTATTGATGGACATTGAGTTATGTCAGTTTTGGCGATGGGAAATAAAGCTGTTAGAAACATTATGTCCATATGCACATATATTCCCTTTTCTCCTAAAAGTGGAATAGTCGGATCATATGTTAGGGTATTTTTACCTTTTGAGAAACTGCTAATGCTTGCGCTGGTGGTCTTTTTAATTTTAGCCATTCTAATAGGTGTGTGGTGCTATCTCATGTGGACTTAATTTGCATTTCCATAATGACAGATTGATGGAGAGTATCTTTTCATGGGCTTATACTTTCTTTTGTGAAATGTCTGTTCCAATCAAATATTTGGTTGAAGATATCTGCAAACCATATCTGACAAAGTCTGTGTACCTAGTGTATAAAGAACTCTGAAAACTCAGTAGTCAAAAAACCAAACAATCCAAAATGAACAGCTATGTCACGGAAGACCTACAGATGACAAATATTTTTGAATGGCTAAAATGAAAAATAATGACACCACCAAATTCTGGCAAGGGTGCGGAAACACAAGATCACTCATCCATCACTGGGGGGAGTATGTAGAATGGTACAGGGGCTTTGGAACAGAGCGTGACAGCACAGAACTAAACGTGTTTACCATGTGACCCAGCAGTTGCACCCTTGGGCATTTAAACTAAAGAAGTGAAAAATTATGTTCACACAAAAACCTGTACACTAATGTGCATAATAGCCAACAACTAGAACAACTCTAATGTCCTTCACGGTGTGAATGGTTAAACTGTGGCACATCCATACAACAGAACATTACCCAACAGGAAGAGGGGATGAAGTGTTCATACCAGCAACAACCTGGGTGGATCTCAAGGGCATTGTGCTGAGTGAAAAAAGTCAGTATCAAAAGATTACATACTGTTTGATTCCACTTATGTAACATTCTTAAAATAACAAAATTGTGGAAAGAACAGATTAGTGGTCGCCAGGGGTTGGGGAGTAGGGAGCTCTCCCCCGCGGTCTGTGGGGGATCACTGGGCGTGCAGGATCCCTACGGTGGAACTGTTCTATGTCATGTGGTCATGGCGTGTGAATCTACACATGGGACAAACCTGCATACAAATACACACACACACAACTAAGTGTAAGTAGAACTGATGAAGTCTAAATCAGTTCTATCAGATCAATGTCAGTTTCCTGGTGGTGATGTTATACTGTAGTTTTGCAAGACATTACCACTGGGGAAAGGGGGGAAGATGTTCAAATCTAGAGTTATCTGAAAATAAGGTTTTTTAAAGGTAATTACCATTTATATATCGATAAATCATTAAGAGAAAAATGGAGAAAGTGGGTAGGGAAATGATTTTCAGACTGTTAGAAGTCCATTATAGATAACTTGTAGAATTCATACACTGCAGTTACTTTTATTAGAGCAGAGGTTTTTGATGCCTTCCCACTCCGCTGTTAAGTTGCCCATCCCCAGCTCTCCAGGTAAAGTCTGAGTCCTCAGCACAGCACACTAGGGCCTTCCCATTGGAGTGTGCTTGGAGTGTGCTGCCCCTCTTCATGCTTCCATCTCTCTTCCCCTGACATACACCTCCATGTGCATCTAACGCCTGCGAAATCCTGTCTGTATTTTCAGACAGGCACATTAGACTTCCTTAGAAACCTTTTATTTGAACATCTTCTCTGTATCCACTCACGTGGACATGGCACGTAGTACAAAGAATCCTGATTCTTGTTTTGTTTACTTGTACCCCGACTGAAAAGCAGGGCCCAGCTCTTCAAATCTGTACACTACAGGTGCCCAATTGTGCTTAAGTACGTGGTAGGTGCTCAGTGATGTTTATTGGATGGAATTGAGTTTTGCTGAATTAAAGTAAATTCTGAAGAAGTAGACTTGGTGCTAAAATCCATGTACTTTATTTCTCAAACCATTCTTTATTAGACCATGTAATCATTCTTAAACTAATTTTAGATTTAAATGTTAGTACTTAGGACTTATTTTCATTTGGAACCTATTTCTTTTTTTCTGCAATCTCTTTAGTCTTATCTAAAAATCCCTAAGATTTGTAGTGTTTTGTTTTGAATATTAATATTTCCAGCATTACATTGTCTTTTTCTTTGACTTATTAGACCTTTCCTTCTAGGAAAACAATTTTCTTGTTAAAATTTCTCAATCCCATTTATTGGAATCCTAAAATTGAGCTATTACAATAACATAAAACTAAATATTTGTTTCATTTTTTTTTTTTAAATACTGTAGCTTTTTGAAAGGTTACCAAGTTATTTTGACCTTCAGAGGAGGCTGATGCTTTTAGAAGACCAAATAAGCTACCTCCTCGGAGGTATACAAGTGGTTTATATCGAGGAATTGCAACCAGTATTGACGCTTGAAGAGTATTACTCTCTTCTTGATGTGTTCTATAATAGACTGGTGAAAAACAGAATACCCTTTCACCCTCGAAGTCTGCGTGGTTTACAGATGATCCTTAACAGGTAAATATCTAAAACAAGAACGACTTTTATTCTTTCACTTAGATGCATTGTGTAAGTGGATTAAATTGTTTTGTGTTTTTCTTAGGAACTAAAGAAAAGTGACACTCGTTTACACATTAAAAAAGCCAACTTAAAGGAATTGAAGGATTGACTGTCTAGAATAGTCTTGAAGTACATTGCCACTTACAGGGCAAAGTCAATCCTACGGAAAACTTTCTAGAATTAAACTAATGTTGAATCACTAGCCCACGTTTTTTGTGCACATACTGTTTTCACAGTCTGTGCTTGGTGCTAAATGCACACCTCACCTCACACCTCACCGGGCTCATCTTACAGATGAGGGTGGCCACGAGGTAAGGAAGTATGTGGTCATCCTGAAAGTGTGTCTATTTGGGGAACAGCAAAACTTAAAGCATAATTTTACTATACTTTCAAAGTGGATTTTCTTGATGAATTCCTTCATCACTCATCAGACTACTAAAATATTTTCTTTGGGGGTGGAGTGGGGAATGGAGGGATGAGTGATTTTTCCTTTCACATGTGTTTTGTTACAGTGACAGATATGCTCCAAGCTTGCATGAACTCGGGCACTTTAACATCCCAAGCCTCTGTGACCCAGCAAACCTCCAGTGGTTTATCCTTACCAAAGCCCAGCAGGCAAGAGACAACATGAAAAGAAAAGAAGAGTAAGTGCCATGAGCCCTTTGTAATGTCCTGTCAGTCATTCTGTCAAAATTCAGGTTTTCGGAATTCATAAAGATGGGACATAAAAACTGCATGAAACTTAGGAAGTGGACTGATTTGTGCATATTCCACGTTTATTTATCCCCCACCTCCTTGGTCTGCCAGGAATTGCATGTGGTGTTTCTGATTATAACAGCCTCATTGACATTACCACCATGTGCCTCCATTTGAGAAGCAAGGCTTGTTAGTATAAAAGTCAACTCAGGAGCAGAACAAAAGATAAGAATGTCAGAAAGAAATTCTCCAGATGGGAAAAATTCAGTTACTGCTTGAATAACAGGAATCTTGATGGTCTAAAACATTGAGAACTACTGATTTTAAGTAAATGAGAAGAAGTTTTAAAGTAAAAAATTGATGTCATTCATAAGCAGTCCTATCTCTATGTTCTGTCTTTGAAGGACTTGGTAGCCAACAGTTTCCTGATTTGTGGACATTGGATACTGCTTGCTAATGTTTTATATATCTCCTATGAAGAAAGGAGGATATTACATTCAAAAGAGGTTTTTCTAAGGATGTTGGCAAAGGAGGTTTGGAAACTGAGAATTTATTCACTTGTTCATTCATTTACCAGTCATTTGGCGTGATGGTTGTGTGCCTGAGGCTGTGACAGGTGCTGTGGAGAGAACACTGGGGCCAGGTCCGTGCCCCCCTGGACTGCATTTCTGGTGGGGGGTGTGGGTTCTGCACAGGGTCAGTGGGAGCTGGGCCAGAGAGAGGCTGGGTGAGAAGCACAAGGCTTGTGCTCCCGGAAAGCCACAGCGGCGCTGAAGGGAACGCAGTGGCCCAGAGAAGGAGGGAGAGGAGGACAGAGACCAGAACCTGGAAGGTAGAGGGTCTGAGGTGACCGTTCAGCAGTGTGCTGGGGAGCCGCCAGTTCCACATGTCTCCTGTCTTGCCCCCCATTCACCCCTCCATCCCCACCAGTTGCTCATCTGAAAGCAAGGGTGGCGGTGGAGGAGAGCCGTAGAAGACAAGAGATAATGGGATCGTTCTGTATAGAGAATAAGTGAAGGAGCTACATCTCTTTGTTTTGCTTGTGGACTTGTTGACAGCTCTGTTGGCCCGATCCAGTGGCACGAATGTCCCATTTCTTGACTGGTTGGTAAGGCTTCATGTTTGTGATGTGATTTCTCTTTGTTGTAAGTCAGCTTTAACTCTTGGGAGCAGCTCTGGCCCACCTGTCCCTGTGAGGGCTGTTGGCTACGCTGTAGTTGCTGCTTTTGTCTTTCCATTGGCCATTTTGTAGCTGTGGTGCATTGCTACTAGATTTCGAGGCAGTAAAATAAAAAGAAACGCAATTCACATAGGTTAGTTTTTGAAAGTTCCATCCTGCAAGTCAGGTCAATACAGTGACTCATCAGAGTGGCCAGAGTGAGTCGCCCTGTGAGAAGTCACTCCTGCTGAGCCGGCCTGCAGGCCGGGGCGCCCTTGATCTTGCCCTCACTCATTTTGCTCCAGCCGGATGGCCCTTTTATCTTCATCCAGCATCTTGGAGCGTCTCTTCCTGGTGTCCTCCTGGTTTGCCCTTCACCTCCCTCACGTCTCAGCCCACGTCCACCTTCTCAGGTCTTCCCTGAGCATCAGCGGGAACCAGCACCCTCCCCTGTGCGCCACTCCACCGCCCCTTGTCTGCCTTGCTCCCTCGTACTCAACACCATTGGTCTCTGACAGGCTGTTTTCCTCATTCATTTGCCTGCCCTCCCCACCCCGCCGACAGAATGTAAGCATCATGAGGGCAGAGACTTTTTTGTCGCTTTTGTTCACTCCCATCCCAAGATCAGTGCCTGGTGCACAGGTGGCCTTCAGGAAGCATCCATTGGCTGAATCCATTAACTTGCATGTTCCCTGAGCCCCTTTCTGGCTCTGGCGTTGGAGCCCTCGTCCCTGTTTTATCCCCCATGGAGAGGAAGCCACTTTGTTGCTGGTCCCAGTGTACCTTCCCTCTTACTCATCACCTTCATCCCTCTGCAAACCTCTGCAGTTTTTCCTCCCCTTTGCCTTCTGCTTCCCTTCACTCTGTTCTCCCTGCCCTATTAAGGTTGCCTTCATTATAAGGCTTTCTGCAGATGAAGTGTGTTCTTGGACTGTGTTTTCACTTTTTAGCTGCATATCTCTATAAAGTGGATTCTCAAGTGGAAACCCAATTGATAAAAGAGATAAAAGCTTGCAGGTGTTCTGTTCGAAGAGGAAGGGAGCTAGGAGCCACTCATACCCATCGGGGTCCTCTGAGTACCTCTGCAGGACCCTCGGCTTGTGGACGGTTTAAAACCAGTATTCTAAGCTAATATCTGGGTCTCAAGTAGACCTCACATGGCCTTTTCAAGACTGCATGACTTTTAAAAAAAAGACTGCATGACTTGTAGCCCCTGCCTCTTAACATGGCCTGGCTACCAGGGGGAATGTGTGTACTGTGGAACCCCCTCCTTTGGAGGCTGGTTATGACCCATGCACAGCTCTTACGTGGGGCAGGCATAACCTAGGGTAACCTGGGCCTAGAGGTAAAGCAGCTCTCCCTACACGGGCTGTCCTCACTCACTGCTTTTGTGGTAACTCACTCATGTTTCCTCCTACCCTATATCACATACTATAAATTTTAATATCACTTAGGGAAACTGGAAACAGTAGAAATGTACAGTAATAGAAGACTGTTTAAATAATTTTGATACTGACATAGAATAGGAAAAAACCATTTAAAACAATGTTCATTTATTCCACTAATATTTATTAAGTACTTTGGTACCTAGCTGGCCCTCAGAACAGATACCCTTGTGGAACTTACAGTCGGTGTCAGAGGCAGAAGGAGCTTTATTTAAAAAAAAAATAGATATCGTTTTTGTCAGGGGAAAGAAAGGTCATTTCCCCCTAGGAAATGTCTGGCCCATTTCTTAGCATTAGAAGGAAAGGAAGAGAACTCGCCACCAGCCGTACTCACCGTGTCATGGCGCTTCTCTCGTTTGTGCTGTGCTTCCCTTTTTCCTCTATTTCGTTGTTGTTGTTGAAGTATGAATATAATAAAGCAAAGAAATCATAAGGAAAGGCAAAAAATCATCTAAATTCATCTGCTTCAGACTCCAGAGGCACCCAGGGAGGGATAGGCTGTTCCCCACCATCTCCTTATTGGAAGGGCCAGCCCTGGAGAGAGCCCCAGTGAAGGCCGCCCTCTCTGGGCTCGATTCTCATGCAGAACTGTACTCCAGAAGGACTGATGGGCCCTCCTGGTTGTAGAGGTTGTGGCCTAGGGGCCGGGGCAACCCTGGGATGAGGCCAGAGGCTTCTCTGAGAAGGGATGGGAATGCATGGCCCTGGCCAGAGATGCGTGTAAAGATGCATCATTGGAGAACTACACATTAACTTGGCCAGATGCCAGGCTCTCCATTTCTAAGCCAGATTATTAAATACCTTCCCCCCCGCCTTTTTTTTTGAGCCAGTGAGAAAAGCCCTTTACAAAAAAGTTTGTCAGTCCCTGCTATTGATGGTACCTATGGTTCTTCCCGTCTAAGCCTGGAAAGAATAGGTACAGGTCCAGCTGGAACATTCTGAGAACCCCGTCAACTCTGCTGTCCAACTTCTTCAGTCTCTAAGCAGCAGTGTCTAGAAGGAGTAATCTTACAGAAAAAAACTAGCAGCACCTGAGAAAGTGTTCCGGGTGTTGTTGAAGGGAGTAAGTCAGTAACTACAGACCCGTGCTACTAAGTCCCAGCTGACTACAATGACCATTTCTGTTTTCAGATATTTTTCTAGCTTATGGATAGTTCATGGTACTTTTTTCCTTTATGCAGAGATTAAGAGTGGATAAATAGAGGTTATTTGGGTATTTTTTAACCAGTGCAATACTTAAACTTCTTTGGGAACCTTCTTTGACCATGGGCAGTTTTGCTTTACTCCCCTTCCTGCGTGGGCTTCCCAAGAGATGTCCGTTCTGGTCTGCACACCACTCAAGGACGTGACAAGGCCTCTTTTCACACATCTCAAGATTTGGAGGATTGAAGCTTTTTACCAAAATATACCCATAAACACTGGCCATCTGTGTATCTAAGACACTGAGTTCTGCCCTGAGTTGTCTGCTTTCTAGGCCTTCACTCAAGCCCTTGATGGAACAAGAGGAAGAGAGGGAGCTGATGGGCATAGAACAGAGTGGAGGGGAGGAGCGTCCTCCCCAGGGGCCTGTCTTGTTGTGAGCCTGCTGGGTATTTGGGAGTCTCTAGAAGTCATTACTGCCCAAGGGTCAGACTGTAGGTGGTTCCTAAAACTAGGAACTTTTACACTCAGCTGTCTGCTTTCTTTGGTCACTAACAGCTGCTCAGTGAGGCAGGATAAGAACATTTTAAATTATGTCTTTATTTTTACCCATTGCTGCCTAAAGATTTAACAAATACTTTCAGAGATACATGCACAAGAACTATTGGCATGTCTTCTAAGCATGTCATTTACCCTTTGTGGACACCATTTTCAGTGTTGAGAGTAGAAAGTTAGACTCCAGTGTTTGGAAAGAGCCCAGATGTCCATCAACAGATCAGTGGATAAAGAAGAATATTAGCCATAGAAAAGAATGAAATTTTGCCATTTGCAATGACGTGGATGGAACTAGAGGGTATTATGCTAAGCGAAATAAGTGAGTCAGAGAAAGACAGATACCATATGATTTCACTCATACGTGGAATTTAAGAAACAAAACAGATATGAACATAGGGGAAGGGAAGGAAAACAAAATGAGGTAAAGACAGAGAGGGAGGCAAACCATAAGAGATGCTGAACTCTAGGAAACAAACAGGGTTGCTGGAGGGGAGGTTGGGGGGGATGGGGTAACTGGGAGATGGGCATCGAGGAGGGCACGTGATCTCATGAGCACTGGGTGTTTTATGTAACTGATGAATCACTGAATTCTACCTCTGAAACTTAGTATTACACTATATGTGAACTAACGAATTTAAATATCTTGAAAGGAAGAGCCCCAATATATAAAATTATATGTACATTTTATGTTCTTTTATTTGGTGATAGCTTGTGGCAATATTATGTTTATTTTCAATATAACAGGTTAAAGGTTATTGAAAATGAATTGATACAGGCTTCAACGAAAAAATTTTCTCTGGAAAAGTTTTATAAGGAGCCCAGCGTTTCTAGTATACAAATGGTGGATTGTTGTAAGAGACTTCTAGAACAGTCACTGCCTTACCTACAAGGGATGCACCTCTGCATTTCACATTTTTATTCTGTTCTTCAAGATGGAGACCTTTGTATTCCTTGGAATTGGAAGGATGGAGAAGCCATTAAGTAACACAGAAATCTGTGTTATTTTTGAAGAGCTAAGAAACTGTTAAACTAATTTAAATCCACAATTTGATATAACAGTATTATTTACATATTACAAGAACGAAGTTTCTAACTGCTGCTCTAAAAGTAGAACTTTTTTTAAAATTAATCTCTGCTACAAAACTTGTTTTAAAAGGTTTTATCTCCCAGTCTTACGGTGTTTCTTATCTGATTAGCAAGATTGGGTAAAAAGATGTCAGAATGAAAGAACATATTTCTAGCGGTGTGTAAATGAGGGATTCTACAGAGTCAAGGATATCTATTTTTATATGAGTGAATGTGGGTACGTGTAAACAGGTCTCAGTCAGCGTAGTTCTGAAGTAATGGGACTCATTCAACATGCAACTTGGTAGTTAACATCTCATGTGTCAGCACGAACATGTATTTTGCAGCCAGTAGGGGACAGTTGCTGTCTAAAACAGGAGACTGATGGGTAGCAAAAATTAGATAACCAGATTCTTCCTGAAAGAAAGAGTAGAAGGAAAAAAAAGCAATTGGATGTATGTGTAGTATTGACATTGTCATAAGCAGTCTGATACCAGTTTGTTAAAACATCTTAGTGACAGAAAATTTAGGTTTAAATCCATAAGTTTTCCTACCCATTAAAATATTATAACTGTTGGTAGCATGACACTAACAGACAGTAAGTGTCTTTGAATCAGTGAGGTGACTCGTTTGTTTTTGTGGACAGACTATCTGGAAAAACCCTTGCTTTTTTCCCCAAGAGTTCCAGCAAGTAGGGAGTATAAAATGGTTCAGGCCATTCAGGATTTCTGTCACCCCCTCAACCCCGGTCTTCCTGTTCCTACCAGTGTTTCGCACGTGGGGTGAGGCCCCTCTGAGCCGTCCCTTGTGCATAGTTGTGTGGGCTCCCTGAGGCCACAGCACAGCTTAGCCCCAGAGACATGGGGACCCGCCATGGAGACACAGGGCTTCTCTCTCCACAGGTGTTTCCCTTCGGATAATATATTTCACCAGATCCAAAACCTCTTTGGCTCGTTTCTCAAGAGGATAAGGTGAATCCTAATTTGGGACACCATTTTTGTAGCCCCTACTGCTGAAGAAATGGGAAAGGAATTTTTTTCCCACAGTGCATCAGAAAGAAGAGCTGTTAACAACCATTCTTGAAGTTCATTTCAAATTCATCTAAAACACTATTATTTAAACTGTTTAAATTCAAATATGTGTTCAAAAGAGTGATTTGTAATTTTTATAGTTTGTGCATACCACCTCTTTGAACCTTCATAACAACTATACTGAATTTTTTTTTCTAATGTAAAAATGTTGCCTATAAAGATTTTCCAGAGCCAAATGATGGAGGTGAAAAATTCCTTCCTTAAAGATTACATAAGAAAATTTATTGAAATATAGGTTTGGATTATGCCATTTCTAAAATCAACTAATAATAGAATCCTTAGTAATGTTTTGAATTGGACTTTGTCTCAGAACTGATTGTTAATAATATAATAAATAATACATTAATCAGATTGTTTTTCTTGTTATTCAGTTATTAATAGTTTTACAACTATTGTGACATAATAGGAAGTTACAAGAAATTGATGGCCTATTTGACCTCCTCTCCCAATCTAACATAAAAGGGAAAACTCTGTCCCACCACTGAAAACTGGCACAGGTTGAGGCCCCACCAACTACAAAGCCATGGGTCAGAAACGGTCTCCAAAGGGACCTGAGCTCCAGACCCAGGCCAGACGTCTCCCAAGGAAGAAGCAGGCCCTGAGCCCAGGCTGTCCAGTTAGGAAGGCATAGGTCCAAAGCCACATCTGTCTGCAGGACAGGTCCCCCCCAGGCCCTACTTCCTCTTTTGTTTCTTAAAGACCTCCAGGTCCAGGCAGCCCACCTGAGTTAATGAGAGGGAGGGTGGTGGGCATTGAGAAATGGAGAGGTGAAGCAAGAGGGGTCAGGGCTGAGTCAGGAGTCAGCTCACCTTTAGAACCTCTAAGGACTGTGTGTACATCCCTAAGTGAACCCGTCTAGCTTGGGCCCTGTCCCAGCACCCTGGTGTTCCTACTTCCCTTATACCAATCCGGCTTCCCCACCCCACCCCACCCCAACTGCTCTGGGGGGACCCTCGAACAAGCCAGTAAGACCACATCAGTCCTGTGGAGACTGGTGGCTCCAAGGCTCTGGGCTCTTCTGCAGGGGGCCGTGGTCCTGGCAGCCTTCTCCCGCAGGCCCCGGAGCTGGGAGCCCAAACTCCCAGGAGGCTGGCACACTCAGGGTGCAGGAGCCACTGATGCATTGGGTGAAGCCTGGCAGCTGGCTGATCACAAAGCACCTCCCTGTTTCGGGGGTGCCTCTGACCTGTGCCGCCTAACCACAGACCCCAACCGCAAGCCCTCTGACCTGGCAGGGCCACCCAGGTACCTGTCCCATGAGTAAGAATTGACGCAACCCCCAGGGCACCTTGGTAGAACTCCTACTGGGCTCCCTGCACTGAATGACCCTGGACAAGGCCTCCCTTGGCCTCAGTCTCCCCATCTGTAAAAGGAGACACTGGGTCATGTTCTTGGAAGTTCTTCCCACCCACAGTGAGTCTGCCCCAGGAATGCAGAGCCCTCCCTTGGATGGTCCCGGGCTGCTGGCCCAGGCACCCCTCACTCCTTAGCAGTTGGGACGAGGAGGAGGAGGGGGAGGTGGGACAGCCAGCAGCCACACAAATCAGACCAGAGTTGGCGCCATGGGCCCCTCTTCTAATCCCCAGCCCCCTGCTACTGCAGCCTCAGTCTACTGGTCAAAGCCCTGCCCTCGTGGGGACATACCTATTATGGAGCACTATAGGAATTCTCCCCCTAAGGTGACAGATGTTGCACATGGGGAAACTGATACCCGAAATTGAGAGGAGACGGAGACTTGGCCAAGGCCGTCTGTCTCCTGTAGATAAGAGAGGTTGGATTAGAACCTAGGTGTCCCAAGGGCTGTGAGGGGTCTGAGCAGGCAGCAGCACCCCCAGCCCTGCACGGACCCACCACAGGATTAGTGCTGGGGACAGGCAGCCCACAAGTCAAGATCAGATGCGCCCTTGGAGCAGTCCTTGCCCTAGCAGGTGTGGGGGCATAGCAGAGACAGAGAACTGGCCACTGTGGCGTGGTTGGTCAGTGGGCAGCAGGGCCACCTTGGTGCCTAGGGGACTTGTGTAGAACGGGGGAGGGGGCAGCCCTGCTCCTCCTGAGGCCTGGCAGCAGCCTGGGCTCTGGGATCCCACAGGTGCCTATGGGCATCATTCCTGGAGCAACATTTGCACACTTCTGCCCCAAAGTCCATCACAGCAGCTAATGTGGAGGAAATCGGTTCAGCACAGTGTGTGGCTCACAAGGGAGGAGGCCATCAGATTTCACCCTCAGCATCTTTTGGAGGCTGTCCGTTTTTCATTTTCTCTGTCAATACCATGCGCACTGGCCTAGACCATGGCACGCATGAGCCAGAGACTTCCAAGTCAGCAGGACAGGCAGTGTGATCAGGTGGAGGAACAGTATGATCCATACAGACAGCAGCCTGTACCTCACTTCCCGCCCCCCCCCCCCGCTGCCAAAATGCAGGATTTTTAAACTTTGGAGTAAAATCTTTGCTGAGGGATTTCCTAAGACCTTTTCCCATTAGTCATTGAGCAAACAGGAGGCACTGGCAGTACACAGGCCTTGTCCTAGGCACTGGGAACACAGCAGGGACGGAGCAGACAAGAGCCTGCGTTTGGTGTATGTTTCTTGGGGCTGACACAAATTACAAACCAGGGGGCTTCACACAAATGCATTCCCTCACAATCTTGAAACCAGAAATCCAAAATCAAGGTGTCGTGGGACCATGCTCCCTCCAGAAGCCCAAGGGGACATTCTTTTCTTTGCCTCTTCCAGGCTCCGCTGGCTGCCAGTGTTCCTGGCTTGTGGCCACATCACTCCAATCTCTGCCCCTGTGGTTACATCGCTGCCTCTTATTCTCTGTGTCCTCTGTGTGTCTGTCTCAAAACTCACCGTTTGAAGAATGCGTGTGAATGCGCGTAGGGCCTATTGGATAATTTAGGATGAGCCCCTCCTCTCAAGACCCATAACTTAATCACATTCATTGCTCTAGAAGGTCATATTCACAGGTCCTGGTGCTTAGGACGTGAACATACATCCTTTAGGGACACGATTCAATCCACTGTACTGGTGACTTGGGGTCACCACTGCAAACCCCATTTGTTGTAGGCTGCCCTTGAATGACGTTGTAGAGGGAAGAACCCACCATCTGTGGGCAACATGCCAAGTCCACCTGAGACCCTGGTAAGGTACACACTCTCTCTTCCTCTCTGAGCATTATTTCATATCCACTAACCTTCCCAAAGTTAGAGCTTCCTGGGATTCCAGCCTCTACTTAGCCTGCCCTATTCACCGGTTGTTGAATTGGTTCCAGTGTCTCACTTTTCTAGTTTGCCGGCCGGGAGCTTTTCTGTGCACATGCTTCTCTTTTCTCCCTGGGCTGCTGGGTTGCAGGTTAGAGCTGTGTTGCAGGCCCTCTGTGCCGGTTTCCCACTTGCTGCTCAGCATCAACCCACCCTTCCTACGTGCTCTGCAGTACCGCACAGAATCCTTGAAGCTTCTCACCTTCAGTGTGAGCACCACGGTAAACTTTTTCAGGAGAGTGCACTAGAAGGGCACTGCAAGAGGCTGGACAGTTGGTCAGAAGTATGAATGTGATGGCTTCCGGTGGAGACCTGCTCCAGCCAAAGGCCCAGAACCCATGGCCCCTGCTGGGCCTGGTGGCCCTCTCCACACTGTGAGCGCCTGGCCTCCTGCCCCCTGCTGTACCCAGGGCCTCACTCATCCCTGGTTCCTGGTAACATAGTTACAGACAGTGAAGTTGAGCAGGCCTGGCAGACAGGCTTGCTCACCCCTATATTGTATGGGGGCGGGGGGAAGTTGAGGCCAAGAGAGGCAGGGTTCTGACTGGACACATTGGCTACAGAATCAAGGCTGGACCACAGGCCTTTGCTCCCCAGGCCCGAGGAGGGTTTCCTGGGGTCCTCAGGCTGAGACAATGCTTCCAAACCCCTACTTACTGCCTCCTACCCCTGCATGACTGGACCAGTCACTCCATTCCTGGAGGGTTGAGCAGCTGCCCATT